GCACCCTCAGCAAGTTTGCAGATGACACCAAACTGAGTGGTGCAGTTGACACGCCTGAGAGACAGGATGCCATCCAGAGCGACCTGAACAAGCTCAAGGAATGGGCCTGTGTGAAATTCATGAGGTTCAACAAGGTCAAGTGCAGGGTCCTGCACCTGGGTCAGGGCAACCCCTGGTATCAATACAGGCTGGGGGATGAAGGGATTGAGAACAGCTCTGCCAAGAGGGACTTGAGGGTACCGGAGGATGAAAAGCTGAACATGAGCCAGGAATGTGTGCTTGCAGCCCAGAAGGCCAACTGTATCCTGGGCTGCATCAAAAGAAGTGTGGCCAGTAGGCTGAGGGAGGTTTCTGCCCCTCTACTCTGCTATGGTGAGACCCAACCTGGAGTACTGTGTCCAGCTCAGGAGCCCTCACCACAAGAAAGACACAAACCTGTTGGAGAGGGTCCAGAGGAGGGTCACAAAAATGATCAGAGGGAACATCTCTCCTATGAGGACAGGCTGACAAGAGTTGGGGTTGTTCAGCCCAGAGAAGAGAAGGCCTTATTGCAGCCTTTCAGTACTTTAACGAGGCTTGTAAGAAAGATGGGGACAGAGTTTTTAGCAGGGCCTGTAGCAATAGGACAAGGGGAAATGGTTGTAAACTAAAAGAAGGTAGATTTAGACTAGATCTAAGGAAGAAGTTTCTCACAGTGAGGGTGATGAAACACTGGCACAGGTTGCCCAGAGAGGTGGTAGATGCCCCATCCCTGGAAACATTCAAGGTCAGGTTGGACTGGGCTCTGAGCAACCTGATCTGGTTGAAGCTGTCCCTGCTCGCTGCAGGGGGGTTGGACAAGATGACCTTTAAAGGTCCCTTCCAACACAAAGATTCTATGATTCTACGGAGCTCAAGGTTGGTGGGTTTTACAGTTTTTCCATGGAGAGGTACCAAAGCTGTCCCCTGCCACAGTGCTAGAGAGGATTACAGGAAAACAGCCATTTTCCATGACTGGAACTATTTAAAATATATTGACATATTACCTTTCCAAATGAAAAAAATGGTATTACAGCATAGTTTCCCTGCCTTCAAACATCCCATGGGCTCTGACAAAATGCCTGATCTACAGTTTATGAAAGCCAACAAGAATCTCTCATTTTTAGACACTGTTCCTAGTTACACAATTATGGACTGGAAGAAAAAAGCTCTAAAATGACAGACAAGGAACAACAGTAGCATAAACAAGACTTAAGCCTCTTCTCTGTTTGGATGACAAAAGCTTACTGAATTTCCAGTATTTTGAGAAATACTAGGGCGTGAACAGATAAGTCAGAAATGCTTAACAGATGGTCTACACATACACCATAAATTTGACATGTTTAAGCCATACTGGATTTAACTGTAGATGTGCAAAGCAGTCATGCAGAGTACGGTAAGAAACTGCAGTTCTTCCACAAAGCAACTGACTCCTTGCATGTATGTGATTTATGATTTGTCTTCACAAATACAGAGTGGTTACACCCAGACCAGGCTGTCAGGCTTCTGGAATTCCCAAACATCCAGGGTCCTAATGTTCCCCTCAGAGCAAAATGAAAAAATAAACAAACAAATAAATAAATCACAAAACCCAAAACCCACCCAAAAAAACAGGCAGAAAAGAAGACTCTGACTAAGACAGAGATGCATGTATGTGTTTCTCAAACTTCTTCAAATTGCAGCGCTTTTTGTGCATCTGTCTTTATGTAAATTTGTCTTAATTATTTTTATTATAAATAAGACAAACCAAATCATGCTTACCCTCTTGTTCCCTCTCCTTTTTTATAATTCACAGGACTAATTTTACAAATAATATTTTGTGTGTGCGACCTCCTACAAACTTTCCCATTACTTCCTTAGGAACTGCAATGCACAGTTGGGAGACACTGACCTAGAGCAAAGGTAGAAGCTAGCAGTTAAGTGACACTCATGTCAAAAGGCAAGATACCATACCTCCTTTTGCCACCAGTTCTGCAGTACTACAAAAGACAGAGAGCCCTATCTTCTGGTGAGTCTAGGTATTGCACAGGCATGTATCAGTAGGTAACTGCCACACTCAGAAGGTACATAAATGAAACATTGAAGTTTCACTCCAGTTAGCAACTCAATTTATTTAGTTGGCCTCCAAACTCCCAGGGAATGATGCTTTTCAAGTTGCTGTCATGTATGTTTTGGTAAAAAAGTAACAGTACTACAGTATCAGGGACATTTACTACTTACAGTACAATCCATTGATTTTTATGGGTAATATAAGAAAGTGACCTGTAACAGTCAGTCCAACAGCATCACAGGCTAGTTTAACAGGCAGGCAAATTTTACTGTAACCACACAGTATACTCAAACCTCACACAAAAGCTGCCAAGGACAACTTCATAAAAACAAAGTTTAAAGGCTACGAACATAGCCATGTAAGTTACCTGATGGAAAAGAGGTGTATTTTAAGGAACAATAGTAGCATTCATTCTGTGAACTAAATTCAGAGGTTCTAAAAAGGACCCAAAACCTGAAACTGGATTCAAGACTTGGACTTCACTTCATTAAAAAAAAAAGCTTGATTCTGCTCTCTGTTGTTCTACATTCTATTGTCTTCACTCAAGAAGAGACAATTTTCCATCTCAGAAATGAAGCACAAATATTTCTGTTTTATCAATTCTTGGAAAGAATTTTAGACTTAGCCATTCTTATTTAGAGTTTCCATACTTACCACTGCTCCACCACTTCTTGCCATTAATCACATAACTGTTTCCAGCTCGTTCAATGCTGCATTGCATATTGGTGGCATCACTTGAAGCCACATCAGGTTCTGTATTAAAAAAAAAAAAAGTAAAAACAACACAACAAACTACTGGATTAAATGTACAGGCAGTACTACCACCACAAATATAGGGATCTAGATATATTCTAAAGATAGTAACACCATTTTGCTCCCAGTAGAAAAGCTGTTTTCAGAACCTCGCTCTGCTGATCGTCAAAGGCTTTCTATTTTCTAACAACCTGTTATTCATAGCCAGTTTAAACTTACTCATTCTTGGACTCAGACTACCCTTTACAATAAGCAGCCTTATTCCTTCCCTGATGTTCTTAAATCCTTCCCCCTTCCAAAGTACTTCTAGATAACAGTCATATCTCTCTGCGGCCTTTTTTTTCCTAGGCTCTTCTCAAGTGAAAACAAAGACATTTAATCTGTTTTTGTGATGTTTTACGAAATAGGTTACACAAAACAGCTGCTGGCAAAATGTCATCAGTGATCATTTGGAACCGGAAAGATTCTTCTCTCTCCTTTCACCCTTAATTTCTTTCACAGGCCACCTTCTTTAAAGTGAAAGCATCTCTTTCCTCTTGGGGAACACAGTGAAACAGAATTTTCAAAATAAGGGTTCAGCTCTGCAAGGCTGAGCTCTCTCAATTCCTGCCACAGGAAGATCAAGATTTTGCCATCACATGTTCAGAAGCTACCTTTCTGTATCAACAGCCAGGCCTTCCAGAGATGCTGAATGCTACAAGCTTTCAAGAGCAAGAATGAAGATAATGCTGAGCTACAGACATAAAGTGAGTGCATCAGATGTTTTGCAAGTTATCTTCAGGTTATGTCTTAAAATTCTACCTACGACATACTGCAAAACTACACAACTTTAACCACAATAATCGTACTTAATTGTATGTTTCTAGAGAACCCCAAAACACATTATAAAAAAGGGTAAGTTCTATTGTAAACCTGTTTGGTACAACAAAGTGTATCTTACTAGTACTAAAAGTAAGCTGAAAATGTAATTATTGTAACCATGAAAAATGGTAACTATCGGGGAAGGGCAGCAAGGGTGCTCCACTTTGCATTCACACCTTGTAGATGATTTCATATTCAAACAGTTGCACAGGTACAGCAGAAATTTCTGTATTAATTCGTTAACACACTACAACTTGTAGTTTTGTACTTTTTGCATATGCCATGTGAAATTTCTGCCAATTGCCTCTTTCTTCTGGAGAAAAATTTACCTGTCATGCAGAAGCAAGAACTAATCTTCCCTTCTAGGAGAGGCTCCAACCACTGTTTCTTTTGCTCTTCAGTCCCATACATGTGCAGGACCTCCATGTTTCCAGTGTCTGTAGGAAATCAGCAATGTTTAATTCTTGAGAAACACTGATCATAAGGCATAAGATGTCCAATTTTTCAGTGCTCTTAGTGCTGTAGTTACAGGACGGAGTTGCTAACCTGGTGCATGACAATTGAAAACCTCAGGAGCAAAGAAGCATTTCCCCGTCTCCTCAGCTATTAGTGCATAGTCAAGCTGGCTGAGACCACTGACATCTGGGAGGAAAAGGTTCCACAGACCTTCTGCTTTGGCCATTTCCTGTTGAAAGGATCAGAGAAAAACATTAGCAATAAATCTTAAAAAAAAAAAAAAAAAAATCTGGCTCGCTACCCATTTTCTTCCTTCCTGCCTCACATTCTGCCTTTTTCCAATAGGTACAGTCTTTGACTTAAAGTTCAGACATGCCCCTCACAGAACTCACTTTTGCTTTTTTCCCCTCATTTGTATCTCTCACCTCCTTTTGCACACTTCCTTCTTCCTTTCCTTTTCCTTACGCTGTTTCTTTCCATGCAGAGTAACTTCTCCAGCAACATACACCAAACTTCTTACACACTCCCTGTCAGTGCCTGTTTCTTTTACTGCTAGAGTGCTCAAGAATATTTATTATCCCATACCTTCAATCTCTCAAGCAGTGGAGGTTTCTTCCATTTTTCCTCAGTATTTCCATGTCCAGCATAGTATTTTATTATTTCCTTAGATAAACAATTAAAAACATGCTGTTTAAATTAAGAACACATGAAACATACACAAGTCATAATATGGTGTCTTTTCCAGCCCTAGTCCCCAAGAAAGCAATAAAAAAAATATTCAACACAGGGTTTTATTATATACTTGATTATACATTATAAAATTAAAAAATATAATTAAAAAATCAAACTGCAATCTATTAATTTTGCAAGACTTTAAATGCATCATGGAGATGGCCCCAGTCAGTACCTTATTTCATACAGGGAAATGATTTGGGGTGGTTTAAAATATGTGCTGATGAAGATGGTAGAAGGTCAGTGTTTTCTGATGAAACAAGTAACTGTTACCAACAGTAAGTATGAACAAGAGCCATGAATCCAACAGTAAAACAACAAATAAAAGCCTGATGTACTGACACTTAAGATTCAGGTTTCCCATCACAACATTCAGATATAAGACAGTTAATCTTTTTATAACTGAGAAAAAACCCACAAAGAATACATTTTCTTTTCCTGTTAAAGCAATTCCTTAACAGTTTACGTAAACAGTCATTCTGAGCACCAGTGATTAGTACTAAGTAAAACTGTGTATTCAGTAATCCTAGTATTTTCACAAGGATGTTTTAGTGAGGCACAGCGCTTCATAAAAGCTGGCCCAGAACTAGTTTTAAAATGAATAAAAGTTGTGCCCACTTCTGAAAATCGCACAATAAGACAAATTCAGAAGTAGAATTTAGAAGTCCTGATAACAATCCCTGTTATCAGAAATAACTTACAAGCACAACATGACTCATCTGCAAAACTTGCATGGCTATTTGTGGTTCGTTTGTTTTTAAAGCAAGTACATTAATTATTGCAAGGCTTCCTTTGACAATCCAGAACTAGATACAGACTTAAGAAACTTTGCAAAGCAAGAGTTTCTGCTTTCAACCCCTCCTTGTGACAGGCAGATGCATTCATAAATCTTTTTGATTAATACGTTCTCTGCACTTCTGCCTGACTGCAAAAAACAAGGGAAAAAAAAAATCAAAAAGCCAAAAAACCCAACTCTGCACCAAAAGTCACCTATGTTTCCATGAGGCTAAAAGTTGAATGAACTTTTTAAGTGCAAGACTTCTAATGTCCCTAGGCTAAGAAGCAAAATGCTTCATCTCATTTTGGTTTCCACTAATTAGAGACTTCTGTGGATATTTCATTATCTGAGTTCAAACCTTCACTGGTATTAGATATATTCAGGAATGAGGTTACATTGATACATTACAGAATCCCATTTTTTGTCATAAAAGTCACACCTTAAAAAATAAGGCAAGAAACAGAAACATTCAACTTTGATACAGTTAAAACCATCAGTTTCCATTTCTTAATTAAGTGTCTTTCTGTTGAGTACATAACAGTTCTAGGTTTTTGTTAGTGTTAAAAGTATTTTGGCAAATAACTCTAAAAAGTAACTCCTTTTAAGAAGAGTAGTTCTTAAACTTTAAGAAGTTTTAAAAGTAACTCTTAGCTTTCATTAACAAGGCATAAACTTTTTAATTATGAAAAAAATTAATGCAAACTCTAATAATTTGTTAATATTTTGCAATGCCACAAACAACACTGCATGAAAATAAGGCTGTTTTGAAAAAAAAAAATAAATAGGAGGACATGACTTCTATACCTAGTTTTACATTTTTATAAACTCTAGTCATAAAATGTTCATTTATAAAAAGGTTTACTAAAAGCTTTTACTTTCTCAGCTGGATATATGTGCTGCTTCATGAACTGCTTGACCTTCAGCAGAATTTCTTGGCCTTTCCTACTTTGATGGAACAGCTCTCCAGAAAGGCTGTGATGTGTGCTGCTGAAAGATGACCTAGAGAAGAACATTCAACGCAATAACAAGTAAGACCAGATTTTCCCTCATAATAATATAAGCTGCCTTATACAGGCATTTAAATAAGTGAAGACATTGTAAAAGCTTTGCCTTGCCTTTGACCAGTACTTTAGACCACTCTTACCTTTTTGAGAGCTCTAACCCTCTCTCTGCCAGAGGCTTCACAATCTTAGCAAATTCATGACTATTCTCCGCAGCAGCATTTCCAATGAGATATCTAGCATATATACCCTAAAGCCAAAAGGAAGGCATGTATGGTATAATTAGGCACTTAAAATTTTGTCTTTAATAGATTGGTGATTTCTTCGATAGTGAAAGTAACACTTAAATGCACATAATCTAAAAAATTAGCACCCAGACAAATTTTACTGGGATATGTTAATATTGGTTTTGGTCTATTTCTGATATAATGGAGATGTTTGGTGCACAGGAGAAAAAAAACACATACCCCAGCTAAACTAAACTATAAGAGAGAGAGGGGAGAGAGGTGGGAGAGAAGGAGAAAAGTCTGCACATCATACTGCAAGCAAGCCCAGCCTATCCCTTAAGCCAACTGACAACAGTATACACATATGATTATTATCCACAACTAAATTAACTACCCGCACTCTTACTCCAAATTAATACTAGGTAGCTTATCCCACATTTGATATGCTGACCTCATGCTGCAACTCATTAAAATATACTTACGCTCTACAATAGCTGAATATCTAACTAAACAGTTACTTCTGTTAACAATGAATCAAGAAAACTTATGTTCTCCTATAATCACATCTCAAAATTGGCCTCCTATGATCCTCATAAGCTGAGTTCACCACACACCATTTTTCATCTGTGGGTGGCACCAACAAGATCTTACTTATCTATCCTGCTCTCTACTTTCATGAGAGCTGCAGAAACATAGAAAGGTCTTTGTTTCTCTGCAATACAGAATTTAAATTAGCCACAGAGTGCAAAAAGGTAATGACAAAACTTCCTGCATACAGAAACATCAATATGAAAAATCCAAATATCCACATTTTCTTCGTTTTTAGCCTATTTTCCTAAGTTAGCTATATCTAATGCAATGTATTTTATGTAGCAAGAATTCTATCTTGGATAGATAAGCATCTAAGATACCACTTCTAAAGGAACAAACAGAAATACAATGGTTCCAGTTATTTTTTAACTATTATTCCTATTTTGAACAAGTATTACCAACTACAAATACCCATAATAAAAACGTGACATTTCAGCAAATGTGTGTGTATTACCTGGGATATTGCTGCCATTTTAAAACATGACAAAGAAAGAAAAAAATTAAAGTTGGATGAAGTAGTGCTAATACCCCGACAGCGGCAGTAAATGGAAACCAGTTCTTCAAATGAAGGAGTTTCTACAAAAAACCAGACTATTTTAGAATACTCAACCTTTTCTATAATTTTTCCACCCTTTTCTTCAAGCATTTGAACAGCTTTTCAGCTTTATAAGATATTCCATTTACAGACTAAACCACACTATTTACCATTTCTCATGACCTAAGCGGGATATGGGGAGCCAAAAGGAAATAGGAGTTGTCAGAATTGCAGATAAGCATAACACTTCCTACTGCCCCTTGCCTCCATTCCAGTAAGGAGATTAATTTCACTACAGTGTGGAGGAGGGGGACAGAGGTGTTGCCTTTTTTTTTTTTTAATAAATGATAAATTTACATGTAAATTTTTGTTTCTTTCTATTATATCTAAGAAAGCCTCAAAATAAACTTTTACAGAAGTAGCACACTGTGCCTAAGCCACAGCCTGTTCAAACCCTAAACCTCACTATCAGCATGTTTCCTACAATGAAGAAAACTATGGAAAAGTTCAAGTGCAAAATGATTTGCTTATTAATTTAACTTTTTATTATTGTTTATAAAGGTAACATACCAAACAGAAATCAATCCTAGAAGTCATTTCAACAAGAAGATTACAGTTTCATACCTACAGTGCCTTTGAAACCCAAGGGAGTTCCTTGACCTATGTCCTTAATAGATGTAGGCCGAAAGTAGAATAGAGTGGCATATGCTAAATCTGCTAAAGGATGACCAGCAGTTGAAAGTTCCCAGTCCAGCACTGCCAAAACACGAGCCTTAAATAAAAATAAATAACCCAAGTGAATGACAGAAGATAAATTCTCTCCATCCACAAATGCATAACTGACTGAATATCCAAAGCTTTATCGGGCTACTATGTGTTTAAAACCAAAAACATGCACTGTAACTGTTTACAGCAAAAGCAGTTCCTTTTAGCACCAGGTAAGGATCTGCAGAAAATTAACATTTACATAGTGGCAGAAAACCAAGCATTTTCCAGCGAAAGTCTGTTTTAAATTCTACATTTTTGAGTAACGTTCTTTCTATCAGAAACTTCAAATCTCTTCTCGTCAAAATATGATTGAAATAAAATATCCTGAAGAACAGTAGTATTGACAGTTGTTTTTTTTGTTTCCAGCCCTGTTGCACAGATGCTCATGGACAGACCATGCATTAAAAAAATTAATTTATCACAATACTATGCACAGATTAACACTTACATGAGGAATTTAATTTCTTAAACAGCACAGTCAATCACTGCCCACATAGTGACATGAGCCTCTGCTGCAAGCATCCTTGCAATGGTGTCTTCAGCTGGGTGGGCTGACTCCCCAAACTGTTGTTCTGATGAATTCCTATAATCCAGCTGGCCTGTCATCCTGAATGACCCCTCTAGCTGACTCATGATCCATGGCTACTTGAACTACGTGCAAAAGACTTTCCTA